AAAAAAAAAAAAAAAAAAAAAAACATCAGAGTTGGGCAGACTTGGGTTTAAATGATTAGTTCCATGATAGATCTTAATTTCCTCCTTAGTAAATTATATGTAGATGGCAACATTGACCTCATAGTTTTACAGAGAAGTAAAATAATGACTATAAAGCTTGCAGTGGAGAGCCTGGAACTAGCATAGTGACTATAATTAATATTCAACATTTAATGGATAGTAGACATTCAAAGAATATTTGCTGAACAAATGACCAAGTGGGTCACAAGAAGCATACTCCCACCTCAGTATTTTTCACTACCAGCCAGGCATACCTATAATCCCAACACTTGGGAAGCTGAGGTTGCCATGAGTTTAAGGCCAACCAGAGCTACATAGTTCAAGGCCAGCCTGAACTACATAGTGAGACCTTGTATTTTTTCACTGCCCAAGAACTAGCAGTATAGATCACTTCACCAATTCTTGTCTCCTAAATCACTGTCTTCTAGCTCAGAACTTGCGCCTTTTTATTTTGTTTTCTTCAGTAAGAAAGGGCCTGCTCTATTGTCAAACATGTTAGTAGGGCTTTTTATTAAGCCTCTTGCTGGCTGGGAAATAAGGGCTATAGTTTCCACTTTGAGATAATGGAAACCTGGAGAAACCCTACTCTTTTCTGATTATACCTGGTATCCTGGAAATAAAAGAGCATTTAAATGTTAACTTTTCAATAACCATATAGATCCCAGGCAAAGTTCATCAGAAGTAAATGCACAGTTGAGGATGAGTTTATTGGATACTGAAAGGGGAAAGGAGGCAGGGGACACTGTCCCAAGGAGACTATGTACAATAAATATTATTTGGTGTAAATTAGTTGGTGTATTTTAGGAAAAGCAGAAATGAGTTTGTATTTTCTCTTTTCTCCTCATTCAATCAACCAGTTAGTTTTCTCATGCTAGTTCTGATAGGCATTACAAAGAAAGTCAAGGAAGACCTTGTCTTGAAAAAGACAGATTAAAAAAAAAAAAAAAAAGGATAGGATGAAGGTGAAATTTATTTAGGATTATTTGAAGCACTTGTTTGCAGCCCAAGATAGACCAGACTGCTAGTAATTTACGGTATAGAGATTTTGTCCAGATTTGTTGCCTTGTTATCATCCTATCACTCTGCCTCTATTTCCTCAATCCTGATGGAAAGTTATAAATGGAATTCAAAGTCTGCAATTAAATTCATAAAGTAGCAATTGTTCACCTTTTGAAAAGGCTCAGAAATAGGAAGATTTAAGAGAAGTAAACAATGCTTTCTAGAGCATCTGGCTTACTGCCCAGGAAGAGCAGCTGTGCCCAGAAGCTGTTGGAGGCAGCAAGCTGAGTTAGAGATGAATGACCCCACCACAGGGTATCTGCCTGTCTCCTACCTTTGAATGGTCTGACCTTCCAATGAGCTTGCCTGGGGATATGCTTCCCAGCTGGTGGCCTGACTATTTTTCCTTGTGACCACCAGGGGATCAAGTATTTGCTGGGCTAGAAGAGCAAGCCCGCCAGGCGATGATGAAAACTGATTTTCCTGGAGATCTTGGCAGTCAGCGGCAAGCTATCCAACAACTAAGAGATCAGGACTCCAGTAGCAGTGAGTTCTGCACCTTCTGGTAATGACTCAGGGCAACGGGAGAAGAATTATCAACAGTGTGTGTGCTCTGGGATTGTGCATGGGGGGTGGGAGGAAGATATTAAAACAAAGCAAGTATAAAGATTTTGAGTGTCCCCGCAAGTGTTGTAAGGTATGAATATATGCTTATTCAGAGAGAGGACAGGTTTGGCATTATGTGTTCTTCAACTCATGGACTATAGTACAGTGCCATATTCAGATTAAGTTAGTAATAGTTGTGATAGAGACAAAGGATAATTAATGCTCATATAGTCCCTGCATTAGGTCAAATTTTTTTAAAAAATCCCTGTCTCCTAGGATATATTTATAACATTGATAAAGTTTTGCTGGAGGGCTTAGTTTTAATGTTATATAAGATTTGCTTAGTGATGAGATTATGCAGTATATAAAATGGTATACTCTGGGACTTCCTATGCCACAGCCCTCAGAGTAGATCTCTAGTTAGGAGATAGGTTCTTACAAGTTGACCCCATGGATTGTTCCTTGACCTGCATGAACACACTTCGAAATGGGTTATTTCCTAGAAAGATTTCCGCACATTCTTGGTCTTATCCATTCATTTGATACTCATTATTATTAGTATCAACTCAGAATGACATTTCTGATTTTTCTTCAGTGTGAGCCGGGGGAGAACAAAAAGTGAGAGTTCTACAACTTTCTAGGAACCATAGTTTTCCCCAAAGAAATAATTAACAACAGCCAGTTTAAAAAAAAAAAAATCAGTAACTAGTTATTAAGTACAGAAAAAATGAACCTCAAATTTCTGGAAAAATCTATAGAACTCACCAGTTTCTTGAGTAACACAGGTAAGAATAGTAGCATCTTCTATAAAAGTTTCATTCAGGAAAAGATGTATCATCCCTCTAGGTAGCATACCTTACTTTTTTTTCTCTTTATAGAGATTTATTTGGATAGTTGAAACATTACAAAATTATGTTTAATACAACACTATCTTATATTAAGCTTACAAGTATTTCAAATAGGAAGCTGTTAAGAAAATAAGATATTTAATCTGTCAATCTTGGAGCTGGATACAAATGAATGTAAAGGAAACTTCAGGCTGAGATTATGGCATACACATGGGTTGTAGGACCCAAATCCAGTCCTTCAGCTACCGGTGTGTAGACATAAATATGATGAACGATGAGATTTTTTCATGGAGAAAGAGAATGTAACCAATTTTGTCCAGTGCTGGTGGACTGGGGCGATAGCTCAGTGGCTTAAGTGCCTGCCTGGCAAGCACAGGGTCCTGAGTTCAATCCCCAGTACCAAAAAAAGAAAAAAGAAAAATTATGCAAAGGATAGTAAAGAGAAGGCAAACAGCACTATTTGTGAGAAAATCTGACTCTCACCATGGATGCAAAGAGACTAAAGACTCTAACATGTATGTCTCTTTACTTACTTCAGGCCCAGGTGTCCAGGATCTGGGTGAAGTGGGGATAGGACTAGACTCTTCCATAGGTTTGGCTTCCTCTTGTAATTGTCAGAGTGCTAGTTTTCTCCTTTTAGAAGAACTCTATTTGTTTAAATATTTTAAATTTTAAAAAAACCTATTTTATAAGTAATAGAAAAAACTGCAGGGGAGATGGCTCAGTAGAATAATCGCTTGCCAGGCAAGCAAAAGGGCCTGAGTTCCACCCCCCAAAAAAAAAGAAAAGAAAAGAAAAATTGTCAGCTCATACGAACCAGTCACATCCCACCCCAAAACTAAAACTGAATTCTACTTACGTCACAAAAAATAACATTTCATTTTAAGGGCTGGCCAAATAGTTCAGCGGATTAAAACCCCTGCAAGCAAGCACAGGGGCCAGGGGTTCGATCGCTAGGCCTCGGGCCTGCCATGCCGGCCCCACCCCCAGGCACGCTGAGACAGCAATGGAGACGGCGTGGTGGCATGCACCTGTAATCCCAACTCTTGGGAGGCTATAAATAGGCAGATCACTATAAATCCGATCTAGTAGTGAGACCCAGAACACCCTGTAGACCCTTCCCTAAAAATAAAAAAATAAAAAAAAGTAACATTTCATTTTAAAGTAAAGAAGAACCCATTCCTTCCACTTAATGCATTTTATCCATCAGATAATACAAAGAACCAATAGAAACAACAGATAAATTGAGCTAGGTGTGGTACTGCTACATTCCTATAATCCCAGCACTCTTAACGCAGAGGCAAGAAGATCACTGAGACTTCAAGGCCATCCTGGGCTACATAGTGAGTTCAAGGCCAGCCTGAACTACACAGACCTTATCTTGGGGGGGGGTTGGGAGGGTATATTGAGCTTTGAATGCTGTATCACTAGTGGAGTAAGAGACAAAGTTGGATACCATGACAAAGTACCTGAGGTTGATTGCTGTGCTAATTTTTCTACTGTAATAAACAGACTTTATATAAAGAGTGACATCATCTTCAACTAATTTATTACTGTTTCCTAGTGATGAGGGGAGAAAAACTTGCTGGTGTTTCCTTGGGGTTTGCTGGGAGAACATATAGTGGAGCTCAGGGTAGAATAGTCTGTGACACTATGCAAAATTATGCAGAGATTTTGAAAACAGTAAGCAAGAAATGATGGTAAGTCAAAAGCTGTATACTGTGGGAAAGAGCCTGTTAATGAGGGAGGTGCCTGGAGAGGTATAATTTGAAGTGTGTGATATTTGAGAACCTTTCATTCATAAGGATTACTTTGTGATAATGTAGAGGACCCAGTAACCACTTTCCAATGTAGTTCTGTCTACATTTCTTTCACTTGTGCATATATGGCATATAACAGTGATTTGCTTTCTACTTAATATGACTTGTGCCCAACTAGACACTAATTCAAACTATATTTTGAAATATCTGAACATGTTTTTCATTATGGCTGCAAACTGCAGGGTGGACAGCAGATCAGGATGTATTCCTGAAAATCAGAACAAGTGACCAGTTTGTATGTTCCAGGTGACAGTGAGGGTGATGAAGAGGAAACCACACAAGATGAAGTCTCTTCCCACACATCAGAGGAAGATGGAGGGGTGGTCAAAGTGGAAAAAGACTTAGAGAATGCAGAGCAGCCTGTTGGTGGGAACAAACTAGTAGAGCATGAGGCAAGTGAAAAATGGCTTTTTTAAAAAAAGATTTTTTTTTTTAGACAGTCTCACTCACTATGTAGTTCAGTCTAGCCTTGAACTTACTATGTAGCTAGGCTGACTTTAAACTCACAATGCTCCTCCTGGCTCAGCTTTCTAAGTGCTAAGATTACAGGAGTGTGCCACCATGCTCAGCACAAATGGCTCTTAAGTCCTGGAATGCCCTACCCTTCTAATCAGCCCTGATGGTTTTCATCCATGTCAGTCTTTAACAAAGCCTCCTCCTCCACAACACCAAGACCCACCCTTCAGACACAGCTCTCATCATACTGGTTTTCATCTTCTATTCCTATAACCCTGTACTCATGTATAGCTCTCTTTCCTAAAATTCCCCATTTCTTTCCAGTTGGAACAGCCATTTTACAAACTAAAAGCTTACTTCTTTTTTTTCCCACCCCCACCCCCAAAAGCTTACTTCTTAAGGTATACTAGAATATGCTTGCAAATTTGCCAAAATATTACCCAAGGTATCATTAAATTGTTCTCACTAAATTATTTCCTACAAGGTGCATGACAGCAGAGATGCTTTACTGCAGTGTTTCTTAGGTAAAATAGCAACTCTCTCTGGGGCAATCCTATGTTCTCATGGTGGCAAACCTTGGAGAAAATGAAGATATATAATGTAATTTCCTTTCAAACATTACTTTTTCCTTCAGCCCACAATAGAAACGTAAGAATAACACATAACATCAGAATGTGCTCCTTTTAACCCTGTTAAAGAGGTGGGAGCAGGGAAGAGACTAGCAAGGTCTCCTCATGAATTGCCTGTTTATTAAATTGCAGGTCACAGAGAATCTGAATTCTGACCCTTTGCTTGAACTCTGCCAGTGTCCCCTCTGTCAGCTAGACTGTGGGAGCCGGGAACAGCTGATTGCTCATGTATACCAGGTATGGACAACACGGGGCGCCATGAGCTCTGGGACCCAGGGGTCTGTGGCTTGTTTATAGCCCAGATCCTGCTCTGGTTCCTGAGCATCTTGAGTTTTTGCTTCCATAAGACTCCTCTCCAATTTTCAACTTCTGGGGATGTGGCTCAGTGGTAGAGCTCTTACCTGGCATGCATAATGTCCTGGGTTCAATCCCCAACACCACAAAAAAAAAAAAAAAAAAAAAAAAAGAGAGAGAGAGAGAGAGAGAGAAAGTGGGATTTATTGGGAAAATAGGTTCTAGGTTCCCAGGCAAATAAAGTATAAAAATTAAGTGTCATCATTTTCTCAAAATGATTTAAGGCATATATTTAATGATGAAACTGAAACTGGCTTTTAAAGAAAAAAAATTAACTGATATGTTTCTGAAACACCAGTAGAAGTATAAACAAGGGAATTAGAATAACAGTCTTCTGTCTTCAGTTTACCCTGATCCAATTGCAGGGCCCCTGTGCCTTGTGATCCACATTGACAAGGCATCGATACACAGGGCACATAGAGTAGCCTTATACCAATTAGTTTACGAGGAGTATTTCTTTAGAAGATTGTCTTACTTCTAAAAGAATGAGGAAAGACATCAGTTTTTATGGCCAGCTCCTAGATTTGGCCTTCATCACTCTCTCTCTTTTTGTTTTGGTTTTGAGACAAGGTCTTGCTGTATAGTACAGGCTGGTCTTGAACTATGTTATCCAGCGTGGCCTTGAACTCGTGGTGATCCTCCTGCTTCTGCCTGCCAAGTGGTAGGATTCCAGGGGTGTGCCACAGTGGTTCATCACTCTTAAAAGGTACTTACTTAACTGCAGTGTGAGCCAGAGAAATAGAACCTAAGGGATTCTGAACACAATGCCTCCCAAGCTCCAAAGAGAGCTCTGGAGCCCCACTGTTCTTTAGACCAGGCATCTGTCTTAATTTTGGTCAGACTTCAAAGTTAGGAAATCAGAACAGTGATCTGAATGGCCAGGTCCATCTTTAGAGCCACTAACACAACAAGCCTTAATTTTCAGGAGCTATACAGACAGAATAGTTGTAAGCCCCTGGTTCTGAAACTAAGAAAAGACATTTCTCAGGAATTAATTGAGTACAGACTGTCCTGGAGTGATTCAAATTGACAAGGTTCTGTTTTACAGCATACTGCAGCAGTGGTGAGTGCCAAGAGCTACATGTGTCCTGTCTGTGGGCGGGCCCTTAGCTCGCCAGGGTCATTGGGTCGCCACCTCCTAATCCATTCGGAGGACCAGAGGTCCAATTGTGCCGTGTGTGGAGCCCGTTTCACCAGCCATGCCACTTTTAACAGGTTAGTTAGCTGAGCATCTAACCCTGTTGTGCTGGGGAGCAATCACTGGGTATTAGTTCTGCTTTCCCAAGTCTTTTTTCTTTTTTCTTTTGTATTTAGGACAGGTTCTACAGGGTGTACAGGGTCTCACCATGTAGATGTACTTGTAGTAATCGTCCTGTTTACAGCCTCCAAGTGCTGGGATTACAGGGGTGCACCACCACACCCAGTCTCAATCAATGTCTCACTGTGCCCCAGGGGCAGGGCCAGCATGGCAGGCCCAGGGATTGAACTCCCGGCCATTGCATCTGCCTAAGCAGGCACCTTAATCTGCTGAGCTATTTGGCTGGCTCTGCATTTCCAAGTCCAAGCGAAGGCAAAGGATAGGTAGTACAAAGCCAGTGACACTTGACTATTCAGAAGTATAAGTAATAAGGAAATACCACATAGATGTCCTCAAAGGGAAGTGGTTTCTCATTTGTTTCTTCATCTGAATACATTCAACTAAAAAGAGATGTAAAGAAGTGTAAAAGTGTTTATAATAAAACATGAAGAAAGAAGTTGCAGGGTGCTTAGAGGAACCTGGTATGACAATAAAGTCTCCATTGTCTTAGGAAAACTGGAACTCTTTGAACACTGTTCTTGCCCCCACCTCCAGGTCCTGTCATTTATACAGTAGGCCTGGCCCTATCCTGTCACATGAACTCACATTATCTGGGTTAATTTCTGGTTTAGCAGGTGGCTCAGTTTTTTATGCCAGGTGGGCTTTGAAACTTGGTAGATAATCTAACCCAAAGAAAAAGAGGTTTCTCAACCATTACAGTGGACCTTTACAGCCTGGGATTTAGCTCAGCAGCACAGCATCTGCCTGGCAAGCACTAGATTGTAAGTTGGATTCCTGGTACGAAAACCCCCACCTAAATGGACCTCTAGCTGGGCGTGGTGGCATGCACCTGTAATCCCAGTACTTGGGAGGCTGAGGCAGGATTGCCAATGAGTTCAAGGCCAACCTGGACTCCATAGTGGGTTCAAGGCCAGTCTGAACTACATAGTGAGAGGCTGTCTCAAAAAAAAAAGGGGGGGGGAAGGGGCTGGGGAGATAGCTCAGTAGAATAAGTGCTTGCCTGGCAAGCGCAAGGGTCTGAGTTCAATCCCTGGTTCTGCCACCAAAACAAAAAACAAAACAAAACAGGGGAGCCTTTAGTATTGAACTTGGCCTGGTTCAAAAAAAGAAAATTAGGGTTGACTATGTGAGCTTTGGTACAAGGAAACACTAACCATATAAAATGTTGCTTTCCAGTGAGAAACTTCCAGAAGTACTTAATATGGAATCCTTACCCCCAGTTCACAGCGAGGGCCCCTCCAGTGCTGAGGGGAAGGACGTTGCTTTCAGTCCTCCAGTGTATCCTGCTGGAATTCTGCTTGTGTGCAACAACTGTGCTGCCTACCGGAAGTTGCTGGAAGCCCAGACCCCCAGTGTACGCAAGTGGGCTCTGCGTCGACAGAATGAGCCTTTGGAAGTTCGGCTGCAGCGGCTAGAAAGAGAGCGTACAGCTAAGAAGAGTCGGCGGGACAATGAGACCCCTGAGGAGCGGGAAGTCAGACGCATGAGGGACCGTGAAGCCAAGCGCCTGCAGCGCATGCAGGAGACAGATGAGCAGAGGGCACGCCGCCTGCAGCGAGACCGGGAGGCCATGAGGCTGAAGCGGGCCAATGAAACCCCAGAGAAACGGCAGGCCCGACTCATCCGAGAGCGAGAGGCCAAGCGACTTAAGAGAAGGCTGGAAAAAATGGACATCATGTTACGAGCTCAGTTTGGCCAGGACCCTTCTGCCATGGCAGCCTTAGCAGCTGAAATGAACTTCTTCCAGCTGCCTGTGAGTGGGGTGGAGTTGGACAGCCAGCTTCTGGGCAAGATGGCCTTTGAAGAACAGAATACCAGCTCTCTGCACTGAAGCCCTCTCCTGTCTGCCCTCCCCCACAACCAAGCCCACAGGGCCCAGTGCTGCAGGCACCTACAAGGCCATCCTTGCTGCCAGAGGCAGATCTGGGTTTGTTGCAGGTGGACCTGTGCACCCCTTGCATGTGGGAACAGGATAATGATGTCAAGGCACTCTATAGGCAAGGGAGCAGGTACTCCAGAGAACTAAATTCTCCAGCCACTGCAGCAGGCGAGGATTATGGGACGATGGGGTCCCAGTACAGCCCATGAAGTTGGGAGGGCAAATAAATTAATTTTATCTTTACTGGCCTTTCCTGCCTTTTCTCTCCGTTTACTCTAGGGGAGAGCTGGGTGGGAGTTTTATAAATATATATATATATATATATATATATATATATATATATATAATACACACACACACACACACACACACACACATAATGTATTTAGTACAGAGTATCCAGGGTCTCACTACACAGATCTGGACTCATAGTGATCCTCCTGTTTTCAGCCTCCCAGGTGCTGAGATTACAGGCACGTGCCACCACTCCCAAGTCTCAATCGCCCTCTCAGCATGCCCTGGGTGCGGGGCCAGCATGGCAAGCCAGGAATCCAAACCCAGGTTGGCGCTGTGTCTGCCTAAGCAGGAGCTTTAATCCACTGAGCTGTCTGGCCAGCCCTTATGGATAGTTTTCAAGCTTGTGGGATGCTCTGTTTTAAAAGGGTGCCCTTCAGTTTAGGCTATCCAACCTCTTATCCTTTACAAGTTAATGGAGAATAACTTTAACACTGAAGAAAAACCTGACCCTGAGTTTGAGAATTCACTCCCACAACCATTATAATTGATCATTACAATTCTGTGGGCTGTGTAAAGTTAGCTTATCTTTTCCAAACTTAGGAAGTAATACAAGCCTCTTCTCCCAAATGGAGTTTTCTAAACACTTTATATACTTAAGTCCAAACTACTTTTCCAAGTAAAATACATTTTGTCAGGTATGACAAAATTCTATCCCAGAGAGTAGCAAGCTGTATCCAGGAATATATTCATGGAATTGGCCACAGTATTCCAAATACCACTGAACTCATGTTTGAGGTAAGAGCTAATCCATCTTTTTATTTATTCCCCAGAGTCAAGGTCAAATGATAAAAGCCACTGAGGAAAAGCAGTTAAGAGACTAAGAACTCACATCAACAGCGATAAAGATCAGAAAAACAATGGCAAGAGGAAAAGACAAATGCTGAGGTCATTTCTAAAGTTCCTGTGATGGTATAGAACAAGTACAGAATTTTCCTTAACCTGCACCAAAGGTTGTGTATGGTTTAGATAATTATAGATCTTGAGGTCCAGAAGTGCCCTAGTTAAATTATAGCCAGAAAAATAACTATGCCAGGAATGTGGACCTCTTCCAATACCATAACAGGGAGACTTGGCCTCTTCGCTGAGGCCCAAGGCTGTTTGACAGTGTCATGATGCCCAATTATGTAGGTGGTGAGTTCCTACCAGGCAAGCTGAAATGTTTTGAAAATTACATTTAACAGAAAGTACTTAATTGATCCAAATGGTTTTCTCTCACAGAGCTCAGCATTTGTCCTATTTGGGATGTTTCAAAATGATTGTGCCAAGGATTACTGTGACCACTTTACATGACTCCTTTAGTCTCCACAACACTTAGGTAAATACCAATTCACAAATTAGATGCGTAAATTCAAAACTGTCCTGCTAAGCTGAGGCTGTAGCTCAGTGGTAGAACCCTTGCCTACACCAGTAAGCATGAGCTCCTGGGTTTCTTAACACCAAAATAAAACCTATCCTGCCACTTACTAGCTGTGTAATGTTGGACAAGTTATTTAACCTATAGGTCTTGCTTTGTCCATCCACAAACAGAAATAATTAGCAAATATGTGTGATGTTTACACCAGGGCTATACACAGCGTATCTTGCTGCTACCTGCTTTGAATTATCAGTTGTTAGAAGCCACCTAATGGGACGGTCATGCAAGTACCACCAGTATTCAAGCAGGCAAGAACAGAGTTTGTGGTGCATAGGAAGCATTTTTTGTATCTAACAACTAGAGTACTGTGCTTTTGAGTATTTTCATTGAATTGGTGGCAAGCTTCCTAAATTTAGAAGTAATGTGACTGGGTCTAACTTAAGTAATGTTGGACAATATTCCAGGGCAAAGAAAAGAATTGGTAGAGAAGACCAGCAATCAGGACACTTACAGGTCTTTGTGGTTGATTTTTGCAGGTAAACTTTGTCAATAGCAGACCACACTTTAGATAGCTCCCACCATCTGCCCCAAGATCACTACATAAGGAACCTTTTGCATTCCATTTCAGGTGCTCCCACAAAGTATTTTTACCCCCCATCTCACCCAGTGGCCACCACCTGAGGCTGGTAGGAAGGAGGCGCAAACACCAAAAGGAAAAGCTAGTAGTTTATATAGATAGATATATAGATATATAGATATTGATATATATTGTGTTTACATAGTCCACAAGTTAAATGCAGGTATCCATAAGAAGAGCATTAACAATAAAAATACAATCTGTGTGTAGCCAAGTACAGAGACTTAAAATGGTAAAACAGCAAAAAGGATCTCACAAAAGTACAAATATACAGTACAAATTGATTTATTTAAAACAGTTACAAAAAAGCACAACAAAATAGATTATCCTTAGAATTATTAATGCTTTGTTAAAGATCAGGTAGGATTAGAGGGTAAGAAATGGTATTGGGTGGGGGGAGCACCTGACTAGTTCTAAGGCTTTAGATACAATGCAGTTGATTACATATTAATTCAGCCATTACATACTGGGGATAGTAGTTGGGGGATCAGTAATTTATCTACAGGGAACTCCTACACAAATCAGATCCAACCAGACCTCCCCAGTGCCATCCTTCTCTAATCCTTAGGACCCTAAAGCCACCTGGATGACAAAATTCCTATCCTTTCTCCACCCCATTCCCTATCCACATATTCTTCCCTCCCCTAAGGTGCTGTGCAAGCTGAGGGCAGTTTGCTCTCTGCAGCTGGAACTTATACTGTTTGGGCTACAGGGATCCTGTGTGACTAGTCTGTAGGGAACAGTCTTATTTTAATACTTCAAATTAACCAGGAATAGTCTCTTCCCCAACACAATCCAGATTCTCTTCAATGCATGTATGAAGCAAGTATGAGGGATCAGCCATACGTTTAGCAAGACCAGCAGCTCATTAACCCTCACGATTCACTACTACGTGCAAACTCCTTATCCCAGGGTGGGTGTAAAACCACTGTCATCAGCGCTTGCTTGCTCACTCGCTCGCTCTCTTTGAAGAACCTAAGTCCCCATGACCGTCATAAGGACAGAACAGATGCTTACAAATTTGACAATGGGTAAAGGCACATGGGTTGCTACCACACACACTGCAGACAGGAACCCAATATAGGGCCATTATCACTGCTGGGCATTTGCAGTGGGATGGCTTTGGGATCACAGACTGAGTTTGTAATCTACTAGGGGAAGATTTAGGCTTAACAGAATAAAACTTTTAGTGTGAAAAGTGCATTTATTACTACTGTTCCTGCTGGGGAGGCTCAGCAGGGCAAACCACACTACCTTGCTCCTTCTGCCCCAGGCACTGTGCATAGTCTGCAAGTAAGGAGAGAGTGCAGCCCACTCTAGCATTGAGGGCCAGTGTCACCTGAGGCCCAGACCAGAAGGATCTAGAGAGATCCAACAAGGGATCCTAGAGTTGAAAGAGCAACTGACACTGCAAAGACACCGAGGCTTATTTTATTATTGCATAATGTGGGAGACCTTTCCTACCCTAGGGAAGCCAGAGGGTGGGTGAAGGCTTCACAGCAAAGGGCTAACAGGTTCCTGATTAACATCCAACCTAGCAGGGTTTCTCTCTTCAACTGTAGTGTACACTTTTTCCCATGTGGAAAATACTGTAGCTTCAGTGTGGCTTAATAAATGTAGCCCAAGGAAGTCAAATGATCACCCTAAAACTTGGCCTCTGTTCTAAGACTACGGCCTAATCTCCCATGGCCAATTCAGTTAATCTGGTTATCTTTACTTCAGTGCACCTGGGCCCTTTCCCAGTCATCCCATGTCTACTCTTTTAGCTCCAGTGTGATCAGCCAACTCTACCAAATGCTTGCTTTTGGAGGCTTAAATATTATCATCTTGTGCTTCCCCTACGATGCCCATTGGAAAATAAAATAAAACTAAACCCTACTGGAGGGGCTACTTCAGCCAAACTTCAAACTGTCTCCCAATCCTAGAATCCATGTAAATGGAGCTACATGAATCTTGCTGGGATGCTGGCACAGGCCCTAATGTGGTTCCCTCTACTCAGTTCTTAAAACAGAATACAACAGAACACAACCTCTCATAGGAACTCGTTTCTTTCTCAAGACAGGCAAATCTTGGAGCTAGATTTGGAGGTCCTGATACCACTGAAGCCATATCCCTTTGAATTCACCAGCCCACCAGCAGCATTTATACCATCCCTACTCAACATGACTGTGCTATACAGTAACACTGGCAAAACACAGATTAAAATAAATGCCTGAATTTCATTTACATGGCCAAAGACATAGAAGGACAGGGAGCTACAGAGGGCAGCAGGCAGGACAGTGAGCAAAGAGCAGCAGTGGCAAAGCAGCACAGAGGAAAGGCTAAGGTGTTATGACCACTGGGACCAAAAGTATAGACAGGTCAGCCCACATCTGAGAACTCTCCTGTTGAGTACAATACTAACCTCTGAACACCATCCCTTTCCCAAGTATAATAATCTTGACAGGAATGGTTATCTAAGTTTTAGGATCTTTTGAAACATTCTCTAGCAAGTTTCCCTTCTTCCAAATTGGTACAGACATTTTTGTACAGTTCCAGAGTTTAGCAGTCCTTCTTTCTATTCCTAAGCTCTGGGAATGTCCTACCACTAGCTAGGGATTGACTAGCCTTTGTCAACTGCTCATTCCCAAAAAACTGACAACTTGCCATTTAAATGCTTTCCAAAAACTACTGTCTCTTAAAAAATTAGGTAACTCCTATAAGAAAAGAAAGATCAGTTTACTCTTATTTCTCGTATCTGGAGGAAAAGAATGAACCAGAGGAAAAGCCAAGGGCTACGACAGCTCTGACCAAGATTTAGAGTACAAAGCTTCTTTTCCTAGGGACCATACTTTAGGAAAGAAAGCTACCTCTGCAGCTCAGCAAAATCAAGTATTAACATGCTACAAATACATGGCACAATATGAGGGAGAGCTGCTGGTATTGCTTCACCAGCAAGAAACAGAGGAGGAACCATGG